GTGGAAGAAAAACAACAAACTATCTAAACATAAATACCTAGTACAACTGTTTGAGTCTCGATTACCCAGAACTGGTGTCACAGTTTCACAGACGGTCTAAGAATGCTACAAATAAAGGGCCTGATGAAATAAATACAACATTGTCTCTAGAAATGCATGAAAGAAACAGGAATAGTAGATGGAAGGAGACGCCAAGGCCTGCGCACGCCTGCAGGACTACCTCGGGTCGCCTGATGATCAAGAATCAGCAATCTCACTACGGTCCAAAGTCCACAACACTGGGTCTGCACATAATAGTGCAAAGTGTAGTATCAGCACAACCGACCCCATGTGCTGGTAAGTGCCTAGCCTAACCTCGGCAAAATAGTGACGAGGCTAGGACCAGACCACAAAATAAACCTGTGCAATTATATAATATACAGCGGAAAGTAAAGCAAAAATAAACAAGTAAGGAAGGGAGGGGGAAACATGCTTCGGGGAATGACAGGTAGAAACAGAATATCAAGAGAACTATAAATGAATCAAAATCCAACCACTAAGAAGAATAAGGAAAACAAAGGCAGATTTTACTTTCTTTTCACATCTTGTTGCAGGCGTGCGACCCGATCCCATTTCCTGTATCTCGTGGTAGGCGTACCACCCGCTCCCATTTCATTATACCTCGTGGTAGGCGTACCACCAGCTCCCATTTCATTATATCTCGTGGTAGGCGTACCACCCGCTCCCATTTCATTATATCTCGTGGTAGGCGTACCACCCGCTCCCATTTCATTATATCTCGTGGTAGGCATACCACCTGCTCCCATTTCATTATATCTCGTGGTAGGCGTACCACCCGCTCCCATTTCAAGCCAACAATAATCACAAGGAATCCCGACAAGGGAATAATATCATCAACAAACATCCCGGTAAGGAAACAATGATATTTCAACAATATCCCAGCAAGGGAGAAGCAACTATAACCAAACTTGTTACAACATCTAACTACCTCAGCTATAACCAAACTTGTTACGATACCTAACAACCCAGCTATAACCAAACATGTTACAACACCTAACTACCTCCGCTATAACTAAACTTGTTACAACACCTAACTAACTCATCTATAACAAAACTTGTTACAACATCTAACACAACGAATCATCAACCTAAGCATCCATAATATAAATTAAGAACACAATGCAAGGGAATCACAACCCCACAATAGCCCGGCAAGGGGGCAATATAATGATCCCTTCCCTTTCTCACTTTTACTTCACAACTCGAACCAATGCTCTAGAGATCTAATTATCACTTATACTATCACAATTCGTTATACAACTGGAGCCAATGCTCCTCAATGTTCATAGGTCATAATTCGTTCCACAACTTTACACAACAAATATATATCTTCACCAAGGCTTGAATAATACAACGAAGTCATGAAAATCATAATATAAGATTCACGGTCATGCTAGACACCAACGTATAGATACTCGTCACCGTGCCTATACGTCGTACTCAACAAGAAGCACATAGCAAATTAGACACAACTCCTAATCCCTCAAGTTAAGGTTAGACCAAACACTTACCTCGAACATTCACGGCCAACTCAAGCCTCAACACCGCTTTCCCTTTTGAATTTAGCTCCAAATCAATTGTATCTATACATAATCGACTTCATAACATCAATAAACACTAAACAATTCAATTCCAATGCCTAATTATAGCTTTCTAATCATTCTTCCCAAAAATCCAAAAATCGACCCCGAGCCCGCTTGGTCAAAACACGAGGCTCGAACCAAAATCCAATACCCCATTCACCCACGAGCCCGAATATAAAATTAGTTTAGATTCGACCCTAAAACGAGGTCTAAATCACAATTAATCCAAACGCCCTAACTCTACCCAAATCCCTAATTTCCTACCCTTAATCTCATGTTTTAGGCCTAGAAATCTAGTGGGTGTTGATAAAAATAGAAGAAAACAAGTTAAAGCTTACTTATCCTAGAGATTATGGTGAGGAAATGCTTCAAAAATCGCCTAAGAGCTTTGGAGAAGAAGAGGTTTGTGAAAAATTATGAAAATCCCGTAAGTGTTTAGTTTTTGAGAATTAAATATAACTGGGCGAAATTACTCTCCCTACTAATTCGTATTCGTCTTTTAAGACAGGAGCTCCTAGGCAAACTCTACGCGTTCGCGACAGACACACCGCGTTCGCGATGAGTCAGGCCTGTAGACCTTCACGTTCGTGTAAGCGGGCTCGCGTTCGTGGAGAGGAAACTACGCGAGCCCTCGCGTTCGCGTCCAATGGGTCACGTTCGCGTAGAACAAATGCCCCACCCCCTGCCCAGGCTCATTTAGCCTTCGCGTTCACGTGGCCAGGACCGCGTTCGCGAAGGGATAACCCCCCAATGCCTCGTGTTCACGACTTGTGCTACGCGTTCGCATAGAAGGAATTTCCTTCATCATAATTTAACACATCGCGTTCGCGTGGGTCCTCCCGCGAACGCGAAGAAGGAAACATCAGAAACTCAACCGTTGAAAACCTGGAATTTTTCTTAAGTCCGAAACCTTCCGAAACACATCCGAAACACTTCCGAGCCCTTGGGGCTCCTAACCAAACATACGTACTAACTCAATGACATGGTACGAACTTATCCGTGCGATCAAGTCGCTAAAATAGCCTCAATAACAACGAATTAAACCTCAAAATCAAAGAATTTTTCTCAAACTTCAGAAAATATCTATTTTTGCAATTTAGGTCTGGATCATGTCAAATGACATCGGTTTCTCACCAAATTTCAAAAAATCATCTTAAATCATATTTAAGACGTGTACCGGGCGCCAGAATCAAAATACGGGCCCGATACCATCATGTTCTAATCGAATTTCATTTCAATTTCCTTTAAACAATTTCAGAAAATAATTTTCTTCAAAAATTCGTTTCTCGGGCTTGGGACCTCGGAATTCGATTCTGGGCATACGCCCAAGTTCCATATTTTCCTACGGACCCTCTGGAACCGTCAAATCATGGGTCCGGGTCGTTTTACCCAAAACGTTGACCGATGTATTTCACGGATTTTTCACATAACAGCTTTTCAGTTACACGCCCGGACTGCGCATGCGAATCGAGGCAAAGATAAAAGAGGATTTTAAGGCCTCGGAACATAGAATTAAACTTAAAAAGAAGTGATGACCTTTTGGTTCATCACAAGTATACATAAATTATGCATTAATAATTTATGATTATACATATATTATACATAAGGTATACACATATTTTTCATCTGTCTGCTATTTCTAGTTTAAGTTGTTTGGTGGACAATTATTTAAATTAATTCTTGCTTAATAGTTATTTGGGATTTAACTCAAAATTTTATATGGATAAGACCCAATAAATTGTATTGTCTACACTCAGATAATCTAATATGCTTGTTCACACTTCATATAAACTAAAACTATGATTAATGTTGTAATTCGTCACTGAAACTAATCCATTTAAGGCTTTTGAAATAACTTTTTCGCTTTAAAGGGTGGAACTCGAATTTAATTCTTAACTTCCATTTGGTGGCCTCAAATTAAATACACTTTTCCATTTTCATAGCATGTAAAAATGTTAATATTATATAGCAACCGCAGGACTTGAGGATAAAGAGTCTTGTATTTCCAACCCAAAACCGTAAAACAAAAGGAAAAAAAATATGCATGAATCTTTCAAGTCCCAATTTCTTATAATTTCTGCATAATTGGAAATTTAAGGGAGATAATTATATTTAAATATTAGCACGCAATTGCTAGAGTTTATCTCATGTATCTTATACTATCTAGTTTATAGTGTACGCGCGTTGCGCGTGGATCCTTTCTCTGTGAGAATTTTTTTTGTAAAAATATCATATAAAAATTATATTAAATGTGTTTAAGTTATAAAAAAGTGTAAGTTCTTGAAATTGAGGAATGTTTTGTCTTACATAGCTAACTCAATAAACGGAATAACCTATGTCCCTTAGAAGTCCTCAATCATCAAGCTACGTATTAAATTTCACAGGCTATTATACTTCCTCTTTAGCTCCAGTAAAAATAAATAGCTTGAAGATTTTAGAATTTCTTTGAAAGTATTTTTAGAAAACTATTCTCAAGTTATTCAAGAAGACAGATATATGGTTAGCTATACTTTTATCGTAATTTAAAAAAAAAATCAAAAACATAAATTGAAAAAATATTTTCATGTCTTAGAGATTTGGGAATGAATAGGTTGGTCCTATGGCTCGTTAAAAGATTTGATAAATGGCAATGTAAAGTATAAAAACAACTAATGTTAAGCTAAAATTTTATAATAAATAAAGAAAAAATAATTAATAAAAACTCATTTAGAATACGTTTTAGTTTCTATTTTTTAACCTTATTTAGCGCTTTTACCAAATTCGGGTGTTAATAGAGAAGTTAATAGAATCATATTCTTTTTCTAATATAGTATTTTAAAATTTTAATTATTTATTCATATATTTTATGATTCAAATTTTTGATATTTAATATTAATAATTATTTTATCAACTAAAAATTCTCTTTTTATAGGATAAATTGATGAATGTATCTTAGGGTTCTTGTTTTATAGATAGGACAACAAACATATAAAAGTGTATATTCCATTTCATATTTAGTTGTGTTAAATAATCAAAACTTTATTGTTAATTTGATCCTTCGAATTATGTTCATTATTCTTATTACTATGACAAAAATGAGCGTGTCTTTATTTTTGAACTCTTTTTTTTTTTTGATAATTAACTGCTTTATTACCAAAGAATATATACAAGCATAACTCCTAAGTTTGGATATGAAGCCCCAAACTTAGCAACACCTCTACCTCAAAGACTACTCTAAGGATAATAGTTAAGCTTTTGTAAACTATTACTCAATCTACTATGATTATAACCTATACATTGTATGTCTCTAACTATTTGTCTAGTAATGTCTTCATTACTTCTTTTAATCTTCTGAAAAAGCCTCCTGTTCCTTTCCAGTCATATATGATACACTGCTCCTATCATGCACAGTCTGTACAGCATGGTTTTGAATCCATTACCTTTCACCTGTTCTGCTGCCCATTTGATCTCCTCATCCCAGCTTGTTGGTTCTCTGTTAATTGCCATCCACTTCAGTAACCTTATCCAAATGTCTTCTGAGAAGCTGCAAGTAAAGAATATGTGGCTATGATTTTCCATCTCATGTTCACTTAGTGGACATTCTGGGCTAACTTGCATTCCCCATCCTATCAGTCTATCTTTTGTGTATAATTTCCCCTGTACTGCCAAATACAAGATAAATTTCCATTTTGGACTGCTTCTGTTGTTGCACAACATTCGACTCCAGTTCACCTTCAGGAATTCCCCTCTTAGTTGCTTATACATTTCTCTAATGGTAAATGAATCAGCTTGCATTGCCCTTTTAGTGTCCAATCCTGCGTCAGTCATGTATTTCCCTACTTGCAAGATCTTCCTTATGATCCAGGAAGCCTGTTTTGCATCAACTTCCCATGGTTTCCTTCCTTTTATATAATATGCATGCACCCATTTAATCCATAGCTTATCTTTTTTCTTACCTATGTTCCATAGATGTTTCAACAAAGCTGCCCGGTTCCATGTATTGAGGTCTGTGACATTTAGTCCTCCTTTAGTTTTAGGTCTGCACAGCTTGTCCCATGCCACTAAAGCCTTCTTGCTTGAGTTGGTGTCACCAGTCCATAGGAATTTCCTGCATATTGCTTCCACCTGCTGAATGATCTTCTTTGGTAAGGGAAAAATCTGCGACCAGAAAGACTATATAGCAATAAGCACACTTTTGATTAGTTGTAATCTTCCTGCATAGCTCAAGAACTTCACTGTCCATTATTTAATTCTTCCCAGCATTTTGTCTAACAATGGTTGGCATTGGCTAATTGATAGCCTTTTTGTACTTAAAGGCACACCTAAATATCTAAAAGGCAGTTCTCCAATGCTAAACCCAGTGATTTTAGTAATCTCCTGTTGTTCTTCATTTGAGACACCTCCAAAATAAATGTTGCTTTTGGTCTGATTTGCCACTAATCCTGAAGCTTGTGAAAAACTGTTGAAGCATTCATATAATAGTTGCACAGACACCCTATCACCCCGGCAAAAAAGTAGCAGGTCATCAGCAAAACTAAGCTGAATAATACCGGTTTCTCACATCTTGGGTGATAATTGAAGTTAGGTTGCTCCTTTAAATTCTTTAAACTTCTGGTCAAGTATTCCATTGCTAGGACAAAAAGCAATGGGGACATGGGGTCTCCCTGTCTCACCCCTCTCTTAGCCTCAAATGGAACAGTTGGACAACCATTTATATTAATATAATATGACACTGTTCTAATGCACTCCATAATTCATCCTACAAACTTTTTAGGAAAACACAACCCATCAAGCACCTGCTCCAAATAGATCCATTCCAATGAGTCATATGCCTTCTGCATGTCTATCTTGATCATGCATCTAGGTGAGACTCCCTTCCTTCCATATCCTTTTATTAGTTCATGACTGAGCAGTATATTATCCACCAATCCTCTCCCAGGAACAAAAGCTGCCTGACTTCCATCTACCAGTGTGTTCATGACCCTCCTCAACCTACCTGTCAACATTTTGGATATAATTTTGTATAAGGTAGTACAACAAGAAATTGGTCTGTATTCTTTAATGGAAGTTGGGTTCTTTACTTTGGGAATGAGAGTAACAGCTGTGCAATTTATTGGCTTGAACATTTTCCCAGTGCTAAAGAACTGTAGAACTGCCTTTGCTATTTCATCTCCATTCATACTCCAAGTCTTTTTGAAAAAACATGCATTAAACCCATCTCCCCCAGGTGCCTTCATATCATCAATACTCTTGAGAGCTTCATATACATCCTCCTTGTTAAAAAGAGCTATGAGTCCCAACTGTTGCTTCCTGCTTAACATTGGCCCCTTCCTTATCTTCCCATGGTGTATGGCAGGTATGTTTCCACATGTTGAACCCAGTAGGTTTTTGTAAAAGTTGACAATTTCATTTTCAATCTCTTGACAGTTTGTTAAGGTATTACCCTTACTATCAATAAGCTTTGTGATTTGATTCCGAGCCTTCCTTCCTTTCATGCTTGCAAAGAAGTAAGCAGTATTTGAGTCCCCCAGCTGTAGCCATTGTATTCTTGACTTCTGTTTGTATATTGCTTCCTCAATTTTATCCCACTTCTTCAGTTGTTGAATCATCACTTTCTCCACTTCAAATAGCCTTGATGGTGCATTATGATCTTTCATTCTGCCTTGTACTTCTTGTAGTTTGTCTCTTATACTCTTTATCTTCAGCTTAACATTCATGAACTCTTTGTTATTTAGTTGTTTAAGAGCTGCTTTGACATGCTTCAGATTCTTCCATATGTCTTCCATTGTCCCTGCTTTCCATTTCCAATTAGATTCCACAATATGTCTAAAGTCAGGGTGATCTACCATACAGTTATAGAACTTGAAAGGCCTTCTCTTATTATCACTTTCCACACTTGTTTCCATACCCAAGGGGGAATGATATGAGAAACCAGGGTTCATGACATGCACTTGTCGAGAAGGCATATTTAGTATCCATTTATCATTCACCAAGGCTCTATCAATCCTACTAAAAACATGGCTATTTGTCCATGTATACGATCTGCCTATTGTGGGTAGTTCAGCTAAGTTGCATTCCTCAACCACTTCTCTAAAATCTTTTGTTTCACTATCCAGTACATCCCTGCCTTGCATTCTGTCTTCATCTCCAAAAATTGAGTTGAAATCTCCCATCAATAACCATGGCTCTTTAACTTGTTTCTCAATGATCCTTATCATCTCCCATAATTCCTTCCTATCATTTATATTATGTAGACCATATATTGTAGAGAATTGGAATTCTATAATACTTTTAAAGTTCTTCACAGTCCCATGTATCAGCTGTGCATAACTTCCTGTCATTGTGAACTGAACTATATTTGGATTCCACAGCACCCATATTCTTCCTTTACAAGTATTGGATACATTGTGGCACCATTTCCATCCAGGTAATATTTTTGTAATTATCTTCTCAGCTTTTGCTTCACTTACTCTATGTTCATATATAGCTATAATTTCTACTTTATTAGTCTTCACAAACTCCTTTAGCTCCTTGTGCTTGAATATTTTATTAAAACCTCTAACATTCCATGTTACTATCATTAATCAACTGTATTGTTTTGTGTACCTCGTCTGCCATCCCTCCTCTACTTGTGCTGCATTCTGTATTCCTCTTGATAGCTTGCTCCTGGTTTGTATCTCTTAAACTGCTAAAGCCATTCACCACTTGTATTTGATTCTCAGGAACAAATATTTTTTGTCCTTTAGCTGCTGATTTGCTTTTAACTTGCTGCCATTGTTCATCAGTTGCTTCACCTTTAGCATTTTCTTGTCCCTGCACATTTGCTCTTGCAATCATTTCCTGGTGCTGTTGGCTTTGGTTTCCTGCTCTTGTGTTAACTGGCTTCCATTCAGTCCTTTGCTTAACTGGTGCTTTGTGTTGTTGTTGTTCTTGCTTCCTGTCTGGTGTTGTGTAGACCTGCTGCTGTTGTTGGCAATTATGCCCTATCCTCATACACTTTGCACAATAGCTGGGCTTCCAGTCATACCATACTTCTTGCACTATTACTCTACCTTTGGGGTCTTTCACTTTGATGTTCTTTGGTAGCTCCTTAGTAACATCTACCTCCGCTAATATTCTTGCATAGGAAATTCTGTCAATATTTGAAGTGCAAGCATCTGCATATATGGGTTGGCTTAGGACACTTCCAATTTTACTCAATGCTTTTGCACTCAGCAACTCAAAGGCAGGTTTGGCAGCTTTACCCAAATTGGTACTGTTTTTACATCTTCTTCATCAAAGTCGAAATCATCATCCCATTGCTTAACTACAACAGGCCTGTTATTCAGCATATGAGGTCCCGAGTACATCACCATATTCCTTTCTTCTAGGTTTGCAAAATTCACCACAAAGTATCCTTCATTATGGTAGTATATCTTAGGTTTAACTGAGTAGCTCCCCTGCCCAGCTATAAACCTTTCCATAGCCCCAATTGTTGGTGTTCCACCAATGACATGTATGATAAATAATAATTTTACTTAAAAGTATATGTTGAATTATTGTAACGACCCGACTGGTCATTTTGAGAATCTGCACTTCGCTCGGTGATTTAGAACCAAACTCTGTGTTTAAGCCTTACTCGATTTCCGTGCACAGTTTGGCTATTTGTGACGACCCAATTTCATATTAGGCCGTGATGGCGCCCAACATCATTGTTAAGCAAGCCAACACTAATTAAACAAAAAATCTCCCAAATAGTGTAAGACTGCAGCTGCTGCAGAATGGCTCGAAGGGGGCAGCTCATCGATAGTCTCGGAGTGGAAAATTAATCTATGCGCCGAGCTGGTCTCACGATGCACCAGCCTTAAATCCTGTACAATCAAGTACAGAAGCGTAGCATGAGTACATAAAAATATGTACCCAGTAAGTATCTAGTCTAACCTCGAAGAAGTAGTAACGAGGGGTCGACTTCGACACATACTATGGCCAATAAAGTAATAATGTATGATTCTAAATAAACACAATATACATAAATACAAAAAAATAAAATAACTCAGAACAAGAAATAATTGAACAGTTCTTCCATTATTTTCGAGAAACTAACACAGTTCCTTCAATTTTTGCAAATGAATCTCTAAAATAGTAAATTTATACAATTATAGAAAGGCTTCCAATTCTAATATCATACACAAATTCCACTGAGAACGTTCAGCCCGATCTGACATAAATATAAATTGTGCATTACCGAGGGTTGAACGACGCGAACCATAGATGCATCTATTACCTCGCTCACGAATCATTCATGTGACGCGGTCAAACATAAATTTAAAGAATTACCCCGCTCGCAAATCATTCATGCGACGAGGTCAAATATAAATGTAAAGGATTACCCCACTCGCGAATCATACCTGCGACGCGGTTGCACATAGGTTTCTTAAGTTATTCTAGTATTCTTCCATTCTTTTAAAAATACGAAGTTCAAATTAAAACCATTAAGGTCCCAATTTTTCTAACAATTTCAACTTCCTCAAAAACGTTTAGCAAACCACTAAATCCCACTACTTAACAAGGCAAACAATAAATATAAATTGGTAACCATATCAACAAGGCATGATGTAGGCCTAACCAACTCGGACATAGGCATAGTTAGTAGCTACGTACGGGCTCTCGTCACCTAGTGCGTACGTAGCCCCCACAAATAATGACATATTATTTAAATTCACCTATGGAGAAATTACCCTCTTGCAAGGTTAGAAAAGAGACTTCCCTCGCTTCAAGGCCTACTTCCGGTCCAAGCTTATGCCCGAAACCCTCAATTCGGTGACGAACGATCCAAAACTATTCAAATAGGGTAAAGACTAATCAATATAGGCTTAAAAGTTCGTATCCCATCTGTTAATAAATTTCCCAATTCAATTTGCAAGATTCCTAAAAATTCATCTCCGGAACCACGTGCCCGAAACATAAATATATAATTTTTACCCACAACCTAAGGAACATAAATATATAATTTTTACCATGTTCCATAACCATTTTCGTGGTAAAACTTCATTTTTATCAAAACCCTAGGTTTTCCTCTAGACCCATAATTTTCACTAAAGTCTACATGTTAATCTACCCATAATTTAAGTATTTAACTCACACGTGGTAGAAATCACTTACCTCTAAAAGCTAGGTGAAAATTCCTCTCAAGAAGCTCCATGAATCGCCTAAGGAGTGAGTAAAATGTGTAAAAATTGGTCTATGTCCCGTATTAAATGAACCTCACTACCTTCAGCTTTTTCGCACCTGCGGGGAGTTGGCCGCACCTGCGGTCCCGCACCTACGGAAAAACCATCGCAGGTTCACATCTTCCCCTACTGGCCAAGCTCAGCATCTGCGGGCTCAAGGGACCGCATCACCGCAAAGGCTCGCACCTGCAGCCACTGATCTCGCACCTGCGGTCGCGCAAGTGCGTCAAAAAGTCCGCACCGACGGTGCCAGGGCTGTCCTCCCTCTTCCACTTCCGCGGCTCGAATAGTATCCCAGGCCCCCGAGGCCCCATCCGAACATACCAACAATTTTGGAATCATAAGACGGACTCGCTCGAACTCTCGTAATGCCCGAGACAACATTAAAACTAAGAATCGCAACCCAAAACCAATGAATCAAACTTAAGAACTTCAAGTTCTTCATTTCACTTCTAATGCGCCGAAACGTACTTAAACTATTCAGAATGACACCAAATTTTGTGTGCAAGTCTTAAATGATATTAAGGAACTATTCGTGGTCTCGAAATTCTGTTTGGACCTCAGTATCACAAAAATGCGTTCCAAACCAAATTTAAAGAACTTCTAAAACCTTCAAGAACCAACTTTCACTATTGGGTGCCGAAACGCTCCCGGATCATCAAATACCCGGTCCGAGCATATACCCAAGTTCGAAATCATCATACGAACCTATTGTAACCATCAAATCCCGATTCCGAGGTTGTTTACTCAAAATGTTGACCAAAGTCAAACTTGCCCGTTTTGGCTAACCTTAAGGAACCAAGTGTTCCTATATCACTCAGAACTCTCCCAAATCCCGAACCAACTATCCCCGCAAGTCACAAATTAGTAAAACACAAGTACTGGAAGTCTTATTTAAGGGTACGGGGTCCTAGAAAGCAAAATGATCGGTCGGTCCATTACATTCTCCACCTCTTAAATAAATGTTCATCCTCGAACGGGTCTAGAGTCATACATGGAGTGCTGAATAAGTGTGGGTATCTGCTCCGCATGTGCTACTCGGACTCCCAAGTCGCCTCCGTTACTGGTTGGCCTCTCCATTAGGCCGTTACTGGAGATATCCTCTTGGAACTCAGCTGGGGATCCTGTCTATCAACAATAGCAACTAGCTCCTCCTTGTAGCCCAAGCTCTCATCTAGCTGAATAGAGCTGAAACCTTACACATGAGATAAGTCGGCGTGATACCTCGGAAACATAGACACGTGGAATACCGGATGAACCCGTGATAAGCTGGGAGCTAAAGCAAGCTCATAAGCAACCTCTCTAACTCTCCTCAACACCTCATATTGGCCTATGAACCTTGGGCTCAACTCTCCCTTCTTCTCGAATTTGATAATACCTTTCATCGGCGAGACTTTCAAGAGAACCTTCTCGCTGACCATAAATGATACATCGCGCGCCTTCTTATCCGCATAACTCTTCTGTTAGGACTGTGCCACGCGGAGCCGCTCCTGAATCAACTTTACCTTTTCCAAGGCATCCTTCACCAAATCTATACCATATAACTTAGCCTCGCCAGGCTCAAACCACCCGATGGGAGAACGACAACACCGACCATATAAAGCCTCAAATGGAGCCATCTTTATGTTGGACTAATAACTGTTATTGTAAGCGAACTCGGCTAATGGCAAGAACTGATCCCACTATCCACCAAAGTCAATCACACATGCCCTTAGCATGTCCTTCCATATCTAAACTGTCCGCTCTAACTGCCCATCAGTCCGTGGACGGAATGCTGTGCTGAGCTCCACATGGGTTCCCAACTCACTCTGTACGGCTCTCCAGAAATGCGAAGTGAACTGAGGACCTTTATCTGATATGATGGACACAGGCACATCGGGCAATCAAACTATCTCCTGGATGTAAATCTGGGCCAACCTCTCTGAAGTGTAAGTAGTGGCTACTGGAATGAAGTGTGTCGACTTGGTCAACCTGTCAACAATAACCCAAACTGCATCGAACTTCCGCAAAGCCCGTGGCAACCCAACCACGAAGTCCATAGTGATGCGCTCCCACTTCCACTCGGGTATAGTCATCTGCTGGAGTAGGCCACCTGGCCTCTGGTGCTCATACTTGATCTGCTGGCAATTTAGGCACCTAGAAACATACTCAACTATGTCCTTCTTCATCCGACACCACCAATAGTTCTGTCTCAGATCCCGATACATCTTCGTAGCACCTGGGTGGATAGAATCTGAGAACTGTGCGCCTCCTCTAGAATCCTCTCCCTCAAGCCATCGACATTAGGAACACATATACGAGCTTGGAGTCGCAAGACACTATCCTCGCCGATAGAAACCTCTTTGGTACCTCCCTATAATATTGTCTCTCTAAGGGCTGCCAAGTACGGATCATCAAAATGTTGGGCCTTGATCTGCCCCAATAATGAAGACCGGGTAACAACACATGCAAGAACTCGGTTGGGCTCTGAAATGTCCAACCTCATGAGTCTGTTAGCCAAGGACTGGATGTCCAAAGCTAGTGTCCTCTCCTCTACTGATAGGAATGCCAAATTACCCATACTCTCTTCCTTCCTGCTCAAGGCATCCGCGACTATATTCGCCTTGCCCAGATGATAAAGAATAGGGATGTCATAGTCCTTTAGTAACTCAAGCCATCTGCGCTGCCTCAAATTGAGATCCCTTTGCTTGAACAAGTGCTGCAAACTGCAGTGATCAGTGTAGACCTCACAAGACACCCCATATAGATAATGCCTCCAAATCTTAAGAGCGTGGATGATCGCGGCCAGCACCAAATCGTGCATAGGATAATTCTTCCCATGGGGCTTCAGGTGACGTGAAGCATATGCAATAACTCGCCCCTCCTGCATCAATACGCAACCCAAGACAATGTGCGAAGCGTCGCAATACAAAGTATATATCCCTGGACCGGAAGGCAACACTAACACTGGTGTTGTAGTCTAGGCTGTCCTGAGCTTCTGAAACCTCGCCTCGAAATAGTCAGACAAACGGAATCGAGCACCTTTCTAGGTCAATCTGGTCAAAGGTGCTGCAATGGATGAAAGCCCCTCCACAAACCGGCGATAATAATCTGCTAACCCCAAGAAGCTCCTGATCTTGATCGCCAAAGTAGGACGAGTCCAACTCTGAACTGCCTCAATTTTCCTGGGATCCACCTTAGTACCCTCGCCTGATACAACATGTCCCAAGAATGCCACGGAATCTAACCAAAACTCACACTCTGAGAACTTTGCATACAGTTTCTGTTCACGCAAGGTCTGGAGCACTACTCTTAAATGCTGTTTGTGCCCCCCAGGCTGCGTGAGTAAATCAAGATGTCATTAATGAAGATGATAACAAAAGAATCAATATAAGGTATGAACACCTTGTTCATCAAGTCCATGAATGCTGCTGGGGAATTAGTCAAGCCAAAGGACATCACTAGAAACTCATAATGACCGTATCTAGTACGGAAGGCAGTCTTTAGAACATCTGAGTCCCAAATCTTCAGCTTATGGTACCCCGATTTCAGGTCAATCTTAGAAAACACCCTAGCACCCTGCAACTGGTTAAACAAATCATCGACACGCGGCAAAGAGTACTTGTTCTTGATGGTAACTTTGTTCAATTGGCGGTAATCAATGTACATCCGCATAGATCCATCCTTCTTCTTCACAAACAATACCGGTGCACCCCAAGGTAACACACTCGGTCTGACAAACCCCTTTGCTAGCAGCTCTTCAAGCTACTCCTTGAACTCCTTCAATTCTTTGGGAGCCATACGGTATGGTGGAATAGATATAGGCTGGGTTCCTAGAGCCAAGTCAATGCAAAAATCAATATCACGATCCGGCGACATGCCAGCAAGGTCAGAAGGAAACACATCGGCGAACTCTCGAACCATTGGCACTGATTCAATCGTCGGAGACTCTGCGGTAGTGTCCCGAACATAGGCAAGATAATCCAGACAACCCTTCTCGGCCATATGTCGAGCCTTTAGGAAAGAGACAACCCGACTCGAAGTGCTGACTGATGAACCCCTCCACTCCAACCTCGGCAACTCTATTATCACTTAGGTAATAATCCTTGCATGGTAATCAAGGACGGCGTGGTATGGAGATAAATAGGGTCGCGCCGGAACACCCTAAGGAGCTGGTTGTGCTGGATGTATAGGCCTATTAGGCTGGGCTCTCCCAAACTAACCTCTGCCCTTCACCGGGGCACCTCTAAGCTCTCCAATAAAGGGTCCTCTTGTCCTGCTACATCTGCTCTCTACCCCTCTAGCGATAGCCCTAAATCCTTCGAGCAATCTCTACCACTAGCTGATAACCAGTGCCCATCTCAACCTCTCGGGCCATGCTAGCCTGAATAGTTGGGTACACCCCGCAACGAATCTCCGCACTCTCTATGCATCAGTAGGAAATATTATCTGTGCATGGCAAGACAATTTTGAAAATCTTGCCTCATAATCAATCATTGACATCTCGACCTGCTCGAGCTGCTCGAATTGACCTTGCAACTCTTCCCTCTAAGAGGGTGGAATATACCTATCCAAGAAAAGCTGTGTAAACTGGTCCCAAGTCATGGGAGGAGCATCTGCTGTTCTTCCAAGAAGATAAGACTTGCACCATCTACGGGCCCTTCCCTCTAATACGAAAGTGAAATCCACCCTATGAGATTCCAATATGCTCATGTTGTGCAGTCTGTCCCTGCACCTATCAATTAAGTCATAGGGATACTCATGTCGTTGACCCCCAAATACCGGAGGATGAAGCCTAGTCTACCCGTCCAAAAGCTTATGTGGCTCTCCGGCCGCAGCTGGTCTAGGTTCAGGTGTAGATGCTGCTACTGTCTGGGCTCCGACCACGGGTAGTGTGCCTGGGATCTGATATACTCCGGCTGCATGCCCAGGAGCATGAGCAGTAAGGGTCTGTGCTCCCCCTCCTGCCTGAGATGTGATTGGGTCCACTTGAAATAAACCAGCCTGAGTCATAGCGTCCATGAACCGCATCATACGGCCCGTGACCTCCTGAAAGCCCGGTGCGGTCATGAAATCTACCGGGGCTAGCTGTGCGGCATGCACCTCTCCCTGCTCCTCAATAACGCGATCCTCCAATGGATCCACTTGTGGTGCTACTGGGGCAACTCTAGGACGCTCTCGCCCCCTACCTCGGGTCGGTGCCCTCCCCCGGCCTCTACCTCGGCCTCTAGAAAATAGGGGGAGCAACTCCTCCCGGGTCTGGAACATATGTCATACGTGTCCTCACCATCTATGAGAGAATAGAAGGAAGAAACTTAGTATACCATCAATTGCA